CCCTATTAACCCTAAACCCTATAAACCCTAGACCTTTAACTCAACACCATGAAAAGATAGCCTTTCCTCCCAGAGCCCGGTTGAAAGCACAAAAACGAGTTTACATAACTGTGGTTTAGGGTTTAGGGTTTAGGGTTTAGGGTTTAGGGTTTAGGGTTTAGGGTTTAGGGTTTAGGGGGCCGTAATAATTAGAATAGGGTCTTTGAGCCCATTATAATATCCTTAGACTAAGGAACCCCCAAAATAGTAATTATTTAGGCCCCTATATTAAATGTTGGGTACTTGGCAGTCAGATTTAAAGACGTGGTCTAGGTTTTGGGTTTCTTTTAAGTGCAGAGCCGCGGAATCACTGGCAATACACTCCCCTATAGCCCCTGTAGATCTAAAAATAGATGCCCAAACCCTAGTTTTGCAAAGGCAAGCACATGGAGCCTTAAACCCTAAACCCTAAACCCTAAACCCTAAGCCCTAAACCCTAAACCCTAAACCCTAAGCCCGGAGCACGATTTCAAAGCAACTCAGCTGTGAAGTCCTGCTGGTTCCTGCTGGTCTGGAATTTCTTCCACAACGACTGGTAGGCCTTGGGGGCCATGTTCTTCAGGTTCTGGTCGAAGTCGTTCTGCGAGAGCTCCTTTTCCTCGGCCTCCTCCATGAACTTGAGGTGGTTCGCGAGGGCCTCCTCGCTCACTGGCACGATCGCCAGGCAGCCGTCCTCCATATGTTGCTGGACACGATCCGAAGTTCATGGTTTCGGGTTTACGGTTTAGGCTTCCGTGTTGATGGTTTAGGGTTTAGGGTTAAACCCAACCCTAAACCCAATAAGGTTGAGGCTTAAGCTCCTCCTTGGGCCTGAAGAATTGGGGGTTTAGGGTTTTGGGTTTAGGGTTTAGGGTTCCTTTAAAGGGATCCTTAAAGGGCTCTATAAGGGATTTATTATAGGGTTCTATAGTAGTGGCCTTAATAATTAGAATAGGGTTTTGGGGCCCATTACACTGTGATTATAAAGTCTCAACCCAGGGACGACCACCTTGAACTCCGACACCCGTGACCCGTTTGCTCTGAGACAGGATTCCTTTGTCCTGCTGCTAAGTTTTGACGAGGCCTTCCCCCCCCTTCACAAAAAGACAAGCATACCCGAAACCCTCAACCCCAAATTCTCTACCCCTAAACTTTAAACTCTGTACCTCAAACCCTCAACCCTAAACTCTATACCTTAAACCCCCAACCCTAAACTCTACATAAACCCCTAAACCCTAAACTCTACATAAACCCTAAATCCTCAACCCTAAACTCTACGTAGACCCTAAATCCTGAAGCCTTGAACCCTAAACCCCAACACTACTGGACCCTAAACCCAAACCCTAAACCCTAAACCCTAAACTCTGAACCCTAAACCCCAACGCTACTGAAAAACTCAGCGGGCTCCAAAAGGGGGGGGAAGGCTAAAGCCAGTTTAAGCGCCCTTCTGTAAGGGTTCACAGGGTTTAGGGTTCAGGGTTTGGGCTTTAAGGCTTTAGGGTTTGGGGTTTGGGGTTTAGGGTTTAGGGTTTATGGGTTTAGTGTTTAGGCTTTGGTGTTTAGGGTTTAGGGTGTGGGGTTTAGGGGCCCTCAATCCTACCTACCTTCCCCCCACCTGTTCTAGACCCTAAACCCGAAACCCTAAACCAAAGCTGCGCCTGATATGCTCCCCACCTTTCAGGGCGCTGGTCGGGAAGAACGGAATGCCGGCCTGGAAAGGTGCATGCTTTGAGGCTTCTAGGGATTAGGGATCGGGGTTTGCGGTTTTCGGAGCCTGAGGCGGCTCAGGGCTGAAGGCTTCTAAGACCCAAACAAGGCTTTATATTGAAAGTTCCCAAAAGCCCCGTAACAACAAGGGTGATGCTTTCAGTTTTAACATGGAGAACCCCCCAAAAAAGGGCCCTATGTTATACGTTGGCATGGGGTGATCTGCGTGAAGCACCCCCACCACGAACCCTAAACCCCTAAAGCCCTAAACCCTACATCCCTAAACCCTTAAATGCTACACCCTAAACCCAAAAGAAACCTGAACCCTAAACCCCTAAACCCTAAACACCCTAAACCCTAGACCCCTAAACACCCAGAACCGTAAACCACAAATCCTGATTCCTAGCCATGACTGGAAGGCTTCAAGCCGAGAACTCGAGTCTCCACAAGGTTGAAATCCAACAACAGGGTTTGGGGCTTTAGGGTTTAGGGGCTTAAGGTTTAGGTGTTTAGGGGTTTAGGGGTTTAGGGGTTTAGGGGTTTAGGGGTTTAGGGTTTAGAGGGGTTATGGTCTAAGGGTTTAGGGGTTTAGGGGTTTAGGGTTTAGGGGTTTAGGGATTAAGGTTTAGGAGTTTAGGGTTTAAGGGTTTAGGGATTTAGGGTTTAAGGTTAAGGGGTTTAGGATTTAAGGGTTTAGGGGTTTAGGGTTTAAGGGTTTAGGGTTTAAGGTTTCGGGGTTTAGGGTTTCGCAATGCGGGCCGCGACCATGTTGTGCCAGCGCGTGTTTTTAGAGCCCTCGCTGTCCACGTCGCAACATGCGTTACAGGAACCATGAGAGTAGCAACAGCAGGAGAAAAGAAGAGATGACAGTTGTCGATCGTAGCCGTGGTATAGTCGTACCCATCGTCGTCTTGATCGCGAGACTAGCAGTGGCAGCATCAGCAGATGTCATTAGCAACACCAGCAGCAGTAGAAGTAGCAGCCGTCGTCGAGGTCGCAGAATGAGTCCTAGCCCGTCGCCGTAGTCGTACGCAGTGGTAATGGAGATAGTAGCCGCAACTTGGACTCGATGATGTAGACCCCTGCACAAGGGAACTCAACGGTCTTACAAGGGTCCATAAAGGGCAAGGCATCTTTAACACCAGTACTAGTTTATTAGGGTTTAGGGTTTAGGGTTTTAGGGTTTAGGGTTTAGGGTTTAGGGTTTAGGGTTTAGGGGTTTAGGGTTTAGGGTTTAGGGTTTCAGGGGCGAAGCAGAAACCCCGAAACACCGAGCTGAACCTGTTTGGTTGACCCTAAATTCTCAGCAAAAGCCTCAAGCCCTGGTAAAACCCCAAACCCTAAACCCTAAACCCAATCCGTGAAACCTGAGTTTATTCCAAACCTCAAAAATGCTTTGATCTCCCAAACCCAAGAAAGCAACTCTAGTAAACCCAGAATCCCGACCCCCAAACCCTAAACCCCACAGGCCCTAAAGTACTTTGGACATCTGTGGACTCTGAAACCAACCCCTAAACCCTAAACCCTACCTGCGGCCCAAAAAACCTACCTTTTTAAGGACTTATATATGGGTGGTTGTCAAAATTATGGTCCCTTTTTGGGGTCCTTATTATAATACGGCACCTATTATTTAGGGTACCTAAAAAGGGAACCTAATTTTGACAACCACCCATATATGAAACCATAACAGGGAACCCTAAGAAGGTAGGTTTTTTTCGGCCACAGCTAAACCCTAAACCCTAAACCCTAAACTCTAAACCCTAAACCCTAAACCCTAAACCCTAAACCCTTATGGCCTCCTCGGCCCAGTGGGAGATGGGCTCCATGGAGCCAGACTGCTCCTGGCCCCGGAGCTTCCAAAAAGAGGTTTAGGGCTTAAGGTTTAAGTTTAGGGCTTAGGGCTTAGGGCTTAGGGTTCAGGGTTTAGGGTTTAGGGGTTTAGGGTTTAGGGTTTAGGGTTTAGGGCTTCGGGCTTTGAAGGAGTGTTTCTGATTGAAAAAGGATTATGTAGAGTTTTGAAGTTTCCTAGGATTTCAGAAGGTTTGTTGCGCTTCAGAATGGTGCTATACGCATCGTTTGTGAATATTGACTCCTCCTTAAACAGTACAGGAGATCATCCTGTAGTTTTGATTCACGGATGTTAGAGTCTCTTGGTGGATCCTGTGTTTCGTGCATGATAAGGCTCCCTGGAACCCTAAAGCAGAAGATGAGGATGATGGTGCTGGGAGTCTTTATCCATAATTTGATTAACCCTAAACCGTAAGCCCTTCTGCCGAACCCCAAACCTTAACCCCGAACTCACAAACCTAGACCCTAAATTTCAAACCCTGACACCCTGACCATTTTAGGGCTGAGGGTCCGCATAGAGGGGCGTAAATGATTAGGATAAGATTTGGGGCTATATTCTCGCATAGTTCGAATTAAGGAAACCTCAGGACACCCTAAACCCTAAACCCTAAATGTCCCAACTGCCCTAATCAAGCCTCTACTACCCTAAACCAGCACCCAAACCCTCGAACACCCAAAGCCTCAACAGTGTTTGGAAAACCTCAAACCACTAGCACGCCCTTCTTATAAGGCAACGAAGCATTACGGGCCTGCGTCAGGAGGTCCTCTTTGGTGCCAACTAGAATGAAAAGGCACTTCGGATTGTGATCCTGAGCGGGTCGCGTTAACCCTAAACCCTAAACCCTAAACCCTAAACCCTAAACCCTAAACCCTAAACCGTGGGTCGCGTTTGGGGCCTGAGGACTTATTAGGGGCTTGTAGCCTCGCAGGGATCGGGGCTTTTAAGATTAATGATTAGAATAGTAGGGTTTAGAGTTTAGGGTTTAGGGTTTAGGGTTTAGGGTTTAGGGTTTAGGGTCTAGGGTTTAGGGGTTAGAATAGGGTTTTGGGGCCCATTATACCATAGTTATAATAAGGAGCCCCCAAACTAGTATTGGTAATTATTCAGGCCCCTAAATTTCACCCTAAACCCTAAGCCCTAAACCCTAAACCCTAGTCCCTAAACCCTAAACCTCGAACCCGACAGACTGAAAACTAGATACGATGAAGCCCCAGAGAGCCCCGTACCCCTTAATCAAGGAATATACCTCGACTTCTAAGGGGCCTTGACATTATGATCTAAGGTATACTCCTTGGGCTCTCTTACCCCTTAATAAAGGAACATATCGTAACTTCTAAGGGGCCTCAATATTATGATTTAAGGTATATCCCTTAATTCCCCTAAACCCCAAACCCTAAACCCTTATAGATCCCTTTAAAAGGAGCCATGTAAGGTATACTCCTGGGGCTCTCTCGGGGGAACCCTAAACCCTAAACCCTAAACCCTAAACCCTAAACCCTAAACCCGGGGGGCTTCGGGCTGAGAGTTCAGCGCGTTCTTTCCGAAGCTCGCTTAATGCTCTGAGCTCCACTCTGCGGTCGGGCCCAGACCCGAGGGGTTAGGGTTTAGGGGTTTAGGGTTTAGGGTTTAGGGTTTAGGGTTTAGGGTTTAGGGTTTAGGGTTTAGGGCCCTATATGGGAGTTTCCGAAAATTAGGGGTACCTTATTTCGGGGTCCTTATAATAAGGATCCTATTATTTGGCGTACTATATTAGGGTCCCCTATTTTCGGAAACCCCCATATAAAACGACCCTATAAACCCCAAACCCTAAGCCCTAAACCGACCCTATAAACCCCCAACCCTAAACCGACCCTATAAACCCAAAACCCTGAACTCAAGCTTTGTAGTCGAGTCCTGGACTCTCCCGATCTCCTGTACCTGAACATAGTAGAACATAATCCCAAACCCCCATTCGAAATGTTAAAGTCCCAATATAATTATCGGCGAACCTGCAAACAGCCCCAAATGTGGCCTAAACCCTAAACCCTACACCTTCAAACAACCCCAAATGCGGCTGAAGATCGGTGACCCTCTTCATCCAAAATTGCGTCCGATCGAAGGTCGACACGTCGGACATGTCAAAGCAGAGAAGGCAAACCTGGCGCTTGCGTGAGCACGCGGTTTAGGGTTTAGGGCTTAGGGTTCAGTTGGGCTTTATGTATAGGGTTTTACGTGGGCTGCATGGTTCTTGATTAGCGCTTCTCTGGGGTCGTAAAACAACTTCAGTCGTGAGACCAAAGATGCTGATCCTAAATCCGAAACCATGAACCCTAAACACTAAACCCTAAACCCTTACATGAGCGGAAGAGTCTTGGAGAACCTTGAAGAATTCGCATGGAACCCCCCAAAGAACCCTTGTAGAACCCTTCTAGAACCTCTTTGAAGCCCGTATGAAAATCCACAGACACGAGCAACAGGCTAGAACAACCCTACCACCCCAGAGAACCCAACAATCTCCCTTTAATTAAGGAATATATACCATAAAATAAGGCCCCTATAATTTAAGGTCTATTCCTTCATTCCCTTATAGAAACCCTTGCAGATCCCCTTAAGGAACCCTTATAGATCCCCTTGAGGCCCCTATAATTGAAGGTCTATTCCTTAATGAAGGGGAATTTGGGTTCCCTACGACCCGCGGGCTGACCCACTTCTATCCTTCAGTCCGGCTCCTACATTACAGCTCCGCAGGTTTTGGGCTTGAGGGTTTAGGGTTTAGGGTTTAGGGTTTAGGGTTTAGGGTTCAGGGTTCAGGGTTTAGGGGTTTAGGGTTTAGGGGTTTAGGGGTGTTTAGGGTTTAGGGGTGTGTTTAGGGTTTAGGGGGGTTCAGGGTTTTGGGGTTTTAGCGCCGCCAGCCCCGAAAGAATAGAACATACTTGGAAACCTGCCTGCTAAAAGCTCTCAACCCCGATCCTAAACTGCTACGTTTAAACCCTCAACTCGCTCCCGAACCTCTGGCTAAACGCCTGCTACTATAACAGCACTAAGCCATCTTACTACACATACTACCCTTCGAACCTTGAACATTGAAGCTTCGGTGTGCCTTAAAACTGTTACAGGGTCTTTCGGTGTATATTAAAAGATCTGGCACTATAGGGATTACAAAGGGATGGTATCACTAATTCCAGACCTTTACATTATCCCCCGAGGCCTCGAAGAAGCCTTGCACATAAAGGCTGCATTTCGTATGCCTAATGGGGTTAGACAGCTTTGTGAAGGTCCGCATCTCGGGGTTTAGCATGCAGGGTTGAGGGTAAGTCGGTTATGAATTGAAGATGTCAGTACACTGACTGGGGTCATGTTTTTTTGTATGTGTACTTACTACGTCCCCTGGTTCTTTACATGCCCCCATATGAAACCCTTACAGACCGTTTGGACGCCCGTCTATATCAAGCCGAAAGACCACCCCTGATCCAAGATTATATCCTTAATGTGGGTAGTTCTGATTTTTCTCGAATCGTTTTTGATAAGGGTGAAGTACTACTTAGGGGACCCAAACAGGGACCCTATTTAGAGAACTACCCTAAACCCTAAACCCTAAAGCCTAAACCGAAACCCTAAACCCTAAACCCTAAACCCTAAACCCTAAACCGTGTATCAGCCCCGCCTCCGCCACACGGTAGTAGCTCGCCGCCATGTCTGCAAATCGCTCTTGCCCGGCTGTGTCATACAGGAAAAGATGCACCTTGATTGATTGAGATTTTACAAGTGGTTTAGGGTTGAGGGTTGAGGGTTTAGAGTTTATTGTTCAGGGTTGAGTTGATTGAGATTTTACAAACATATAAAAGTGGTTTAGGCTTTAGGCTTTAGGGTTTGGCGTTTAGAGTTTATTGTTCAGGGTTGAGGGTGTAGGGTTCAGGGTTTAGGGCGGAGGGTTCCGGGTACAGGGCTTAGGATTTTTGTACGTCCACTGGGCCAGTGTAACATACTGTAACTACACAGCGGCTGTTGGAAATCTTTAGGGATTTGGGTTTGGAAGCTTTCGGTGTAGAGCTGTTGACTGTTACCTCAGGCGCCGACGGTTTAAGGGTTAGGGTTTGGGGTTTTGGGTCGACCTTACCTGAGGCGCAAACGGTTTAAGGGGGTTTGGGGGTCGGAAGCTTTTGGTTTAGGGCTGTTGATTGTTACCTCAGGCGCAGACGGTTTAAGGGTCAAAGTTTGGAGGTTTAGGGTTGAGGGCTCACGAGGTGCTTCTGCGGCAGTTCTTTCCACGGCCGAAGTTCGTCGCGACAGCTCTGTCAGGGACTGCACCCAATCGTCGCCCGGGTTCTTCTTCTAAACCCTAAACCCTAAACCCTAAACCCTAAACCCTAAACTGTCGGCGGCTGCAACAGCTGGAAGCCTGGAGGGTCAAAGACCCCTGCGATCCAGAGGACCCTGACGAACAGCGTCATATTCATCATCACGTGGGCGGGTCGTCCTCCAGGTACGCCTCGTTCCGCACAGCTTGCGGCACTGCCTTTCCGGAATACATGGATATCCCAAAATTCACGGGCGTATATGTAAAAGTTCTTTAACAGCATTAAAACATGGTGTATACATGTATATATACAGGCGCACAGAAACCGTTTCTACAGTAATGCAGCCTTAAAAGCTCGCCGGATATATCTTTGAGACACAAGCACAACCAAATACACGTAAAGTATATTATGAATCTATAGAGACCATGCAGGCCTCGGGATTGGAGGGGAAGAGGTCCGAGGTCCGGAAATGCGATCTTGGGGAACCGCTTCGCCCTCACGAGCTTCTTGCTTAAATCGCTGGAGAAAATCGTGCTTCTCCCGCGGGTTCTCCAACCGCACTGTACATGGTGGTTTGCACCACTTCAGCGTAGGCTTGCTCCGAAGGCAGCCACAACTGGATTCGGATCAAGCGCGAGGTCACTTGGTCCGCTTTCGGGTGGAGGCTCACAGATGCGTCCGACAACACCGCGATGTCTTTAATGGCATTAAAGAAGCTACTGAATGTCAGAAGGTTCTGATTCGGGCGACGAACAGCACTTTGCTTCCCCCTGTTTCTTGCCAGCGCATTGCTGAGGCATCCTGCGGCGGCGGCACGATCTTCTACCCAGCGAACCCAATACCCCAAATACGTTGAATTGTAGGGACGTGAATATTATGACTTAAAGTATATTCCTTAATGCGCCTCGGCCCCGGCCGAAGCGGTCAGAGGTTCTTCCCTCTGATCCCCCTAAACCCTAAACCCTAAACCCTAAACCCTAAACCCTAAACCCTAAACCCTATTCCCCCACCTCTTAATCCCCAGTGACCCCACCCGGAGGCCCTTCCAGCCCCCCGGCCCCCCCGGGCCCCTCGGCCCCGCCGTTCCCTCCCCTTCGCCTGCTTTTCCTTTGTACCCTAAACCCTAAACCCTAAACCCTAAACCCTAAACCCTAAACCCAAAACCCTAAACTTTCCTTTGTACGCAATCTCCTGGCGGAGCGGCTCCTTGAAGCACCGGCAGTTCGTTGGCCCTCTTGGTTTGCGGCCGGGGCGAGGCGGACGACGCGGAGCGTTGAAATAAAGGGGTATTGGGTTCTCTCTCTCTCTCTCTCTCTCTCTCTGGGTGGGTCCCAGGGTCCTTGCCACTGAGAGCTGTGGCTTGTTCCGTAAATTAATGCCGACTAACTTCAGTCCCCTGGATCCACCCAGCAATGCTTGTAGTACTTCCTTTCCCCTGTGCTTCCAGGGACCTTAGTATTGGGTCCTTAAGGGGTCTAGGGCCCTAACTATAAGGTCCTTGGAAGCATAGGGTTCTACATGTATGAGTATCATGATCGAGCTGCTGCTCCGTGAGTACTCCTAACCCCAAGAGCCTGTCATCCCTCAAAGTTCAACCCGAACGCGCCAACAAATGCGAGCGGTTTAGGGTTTAGGGTTTAGGGTTTAGGGTTTAGGGTTTAGGGTCTCACAGACCCGTAAAACCTACGCAAGACTGGATGACACCCCCAAAGCCCACATGCGCACACCCTAAACCCGGCTCCCTCGCAGCTTGTTGAATAAACCCTCCAAAACCCACAGAAGATCAAAACCTTACACCCGAAACCCTTACTTACTCACAAAAGCCGGCATCCACCCGAGCACCTCCGTGTCCTCGATGAAGACCTTCGTTCAGCAACACCCAAGGCATGCTAGTACAGAGGGCTAGGGTTTAGGGTTTAGGGTTTAGGGTTTAGGATTTAGGGTTTAGGGTACGGTTTAGGGTTAAGGGTTTAGGGTTTAGGGTTTATCAGAAAAGCGTGTTGGGGCGTAGACAAAGAGGGAAACCCTAAATCCTAAAGCCTAATTAGGCTTAGGGCAGCATCACGGTTTAGACCCAAGGGTTCTGCTTCCATCATGGCCCTTAAGAAGCAACAGCGCCGAAAACAAACACAACACTCAAACAGCATGAAAATGGCTGAACAGGGTGTTTAAACAGCAGCAAAACACGAAGCAAGACTTTAAGAAAACAAGCAAACACCTGTCAAGCCATGCTTGACAAAAAAACTTGGTCATAAAGAGCCGGGAGACCTTCTTTCAAAAGAAAGCAGTGCAGCAGGGGTTAGGGTCCGGGTTTAGGGTTTAGGGTTTAGGGTTTAGGGTTTAGGGTTTAGGGTTTAGGGTTTAGGGTTAGGGCTTGGGGTTTCTATAGGATTTTAGGCTGTAGGTAGTATACCCTGAGACCTTAAAATAATGCGTGGACCAACTTCTGCCTGCCGAAAACCATATCCCAAACCTTACAGCCCAAAACCCACAAACCCTAATTACTAAACCCTAAGCCCTAAACCCTAAACCCTAAACCCAAACCCACAACCTACGGCATGCCGAATAAATTGCCCGCAGGGCTCGACTCTACAGTTCTCGTAGGAGATAAGAAACACGGTAATAAACATATATATATATATATATACGTATAACCCTATATAACCCTAAACCCCAAACCCCTGAATCCTCAACCCTAAACCTATAAGCCCTAAGCCCGAAACGCAAACCCCAAACCCTCGTCCCAAACCCCTAAATCCTCAGTTTTACACGTATACCATTCGCCGGCTTCCAAACTCCCAAAAAACCTCAACCACTAACACCCTAGATTAAAGGAAACTACAGGTAGGGAATTTAGGGTATATAGGGCTTCTATAAGGCTTCCATAAGGTATATAGATCTCCTATACGGCTCCTATAACGGTAACTACCCACCTGAAATTGTCCTAGACTAGAACCGGGCAACCTGAACCCTCAACCCCTAAACCTCGGAGCTTTCTGCTTTAAGTAAACCCTAAACCCTAAACCCCTGAACCCCTGAACCCCTCAACCCTAAACCCCTGAACCCTAAACCCCCACCACCCAGAGAAGCCAATACCCCTTAATTCAGGAATATACCTTAAATCATAATATTCAGGCCCTACAATTTAAGGTATGTGCTTAATCAGGGAGTATGGCGTTCTTTGGGCACCGCGCCTCAGCCCTAAATCCCTAAATCCCTCAATCCTGAACCCTGTAAACCCCGCAACCCTAAACACCTGAACCCTATATCCCTCTCAACCCCCCAAACCCCCAACCCTAAACCCTAAACCCTAAACCCTAAACCCTAAACCCTAAACCCTACACCCTAAACCCTAAACCCTAAACCCTAAAACCCAAACCCCCAAAAAAGTTTAAAGGCCCAGGGACCGACTTCTGCAGGCAATCGCAACCCAAGGTCGGCCCGTGCGTCGCGTCATCCGCGGCAAAGACGTTGTTCACCTCACACCCAGGGGTTTAAGGTTTCGGGTTTAGGGTTTAGGGCTAGGTGTTCAATGAGGGTTTAGGGCTTACAGGCAAAATACAATCACGCCAGGTTTCTTAGAGCCATGTACCTAAAACCTTAAACCCTAAACTCTGAAACCCTAAACTTACCTTGGACTCTAACTATCTACAGTTTTATGGGTTCTACCTACTAATTAAGGGGCAATGGCTGCTAAACTGTAGGTAGAGAGAGTTACAGGTACGTAGGCCCTAAACCCTAAACTGAACCCCCAAGCCGCTGTCAACCCAACTGGGACCCCGGCAAATCTTTCAATGAGGCACGTCTTGCCCGTCGCTGCGGGGCCAGCGACAATGACCTGCAAAGCAAAGAGGGATGCGCACAGTTCTATAATAAGACGGGTCCACATTTTAGGTACCAAGTTCAGGACCTGTGACTAGTATGCTAAGGGTGATAACTTGCAAACTAGGGAACTTCACCTACGGTCTTGTAATCGGGACCCCACAGCGTTACGTCTTTCGGGGCCCGAGGTCCTGGTATTTACAAGAAGCCTATGAGCATCTAGGTAGCCCATGGTAGATATAATTGAGGCTGTCGGAAGGGCGGATTGCCGTAGGTCTTTGGGGTACGACGAGAGTCTAACTACCCTGGCCCTCGAATTTCGGTTGGGTGGCAGACGTTGGGTTTCATTGGGGTCTAGGGCGCACCACACAGCTTTAAGGCTACTTACTTCAGCTGGCAAGTTGCAAGCCCAAAACCCTACACCCCTAAAGCCCTAAACCCTTAACCTGAAAGTTGCTTGCTTGGTGGATACTAAGGGCCGGGGGTGGTTTCAGGTTTTCCGTGGTTCAGTTGTGTTGCTACGGGTCCTTTTCTTGGTTTCACAAACCATGGTCAGAGGTGCAGCCTTCTGACCACCTTTCACCTTCAGGAGCATTCAATTATGACATGCATGTATGCTTAT